GGGGGGGGGGTGCGAGTTGCGGGATTACAGATATGAACCGTGGCACCTGCAGAGAGTGGTGTGTTTGTTTAGTTAATTTTGCGCGGGCGACATTACGGAGTAATCCATCAGATTCGGGGACAAGAGGAATGAGGGTGGTAAAAGAGGAATAAAAGATCCACGAGATCGGGAGAGAGAGAGAGAGAGAGAGTTGTTTTCATTCGTGGAAACTTAACGTTTCCCAACGGACTCTCAGAAACGCTCAAGACCAGATACAAACTCTGACAGGATGGAGGAAGGGCATGCGAACAAAATGCACATCCGTACAGCAACACTGCTACCTGTACGCGGCTTCTGTTAGCTCTTCCTGTTACATCACTTCACTTCCCCCCTTCTCTCCCTTTCTTTCTCGGCGCGATCGAACCTATTTAATTTTCTCGTCGTATTTTTTCCCTCCCCCTCTCCACATTTTCCTTCGCCGTGCGTATTGCTGATTCACGCCGTAGGTGGGGAATATAAAGAACGGCTGAGGGTGAATTATTTGATTTTTTCCCCCTCCTCCTCTGGCTCGTTCTTCCCTCGACTGCCAGCCAGGTTCCTCTGTTCTGCTTCCTATTCTATTTTTTTCTCCGTCGATGTTACTCCAATATGCTATGGCTGTGAGTGTGTGAGTGGGAGGATAGTTACCAGGAGTGCGGAAAAAGACGACGAGTGCACGCAGACAGCGTCTGACTTTGTAAAGAAAACGGGGAAAACTTAAAGGAACTTGCGTAATTAGAGAGAAAACTCCCCAGATTTTGAGGAAGTCTCAAAAATTATCTGGGAAATTCCAAAATCTGTTTCTAAAAGTAATGGAAGGGCCCCAAATAAGTTAACCGGTTTTCCTCAAAAGATCAGACGGTACCGTCTGTTTTTTTTTAACGTGCAGGTGGCAGGTGCGTTCAACAACCTGGTGGTGGTAAAGTATTCCAGACGGGAGCAGGGGGCGGGGGTGCGTCGCCTTGTTTGGGGAGCTGGGGACTTGTGCCGTAAAACAAAACCTCAAAGGGGGGTAGCGGCCAAGAAAACCGTTTCTCCCGACCGCCTTTCACTCACTCACGCGCGTTCACCGCTCACGCCCTGCGCGAGGGGCGGCGGCGGGACCGGCGGGGGAGGGGGTGGCGTCGCCGCCCGAGGCGAGACGCTATACAGGCCGTAAGTGTCGAACACGACTGCACAAAGGCGCTTTTGCAAGTGACAAATCACCCCACAAACAATCCCAGAGTCTCCCTACCGCAGAGACCTGGGCTGGGCAGAGCTCCCAAAGGAAAGGGGAGGGGAGGAGGGGGAGGGAGGGAGAGGCCCTGCTAGGGGAGGAAAGGGACGGGCAGGACGGGGCAGGGCTGGGCGGCTGGCGTGGCGCCACGCCAACAATAGGCATTGATTTGAAGCGACGCGCGCCGGAGGGGCCTAAAGCGCCTAAAGCTCAGGAGGGGAAGGCCACCTAGGAGAGGGAGAGAGAGAGGGGGGGGGGAGAGGAGGGAGAGAGAGGGAGAGAGAGAGAGAGAGAGAGAGGGAGGAGAGGGAGAGAGAGAGAGGGAGGGAGAGGGGGAGAGGGAGAGAGACAGATGGGGGGTGGGGAAGAGTGAGGGGGAAAGGGGAGGGGAGTGAGCGAGAAAGAGACCACACTGATTTAATGAGACCGCATATATGAGGAGCGTCGTCGGGGCGGAGGTGGAGGGGGGTGAGTGATGCAGAATATGAAGTATCAAGTTCGCATTCAAAATTTATAGACGTCCTCATTTGTCGGATTTGGTCGCTTTGCGGCGCGAACGAACGCCACCCCATCTCCCTCTCTCCCACTGCCTCTCTCTCCGGGATTTATTGTGGCGATTACGGACAGGTATATAGGTCCATTGTCATTTGTTAGTCTCCAACAGGAACACCAGATCGTGTGTGAGTGTGTGTCCAAATGTAGCAGACGCGAAAAAAAATTCACAGTCCCAAAAAATACACGAAAAACTGCGCGCGTGCGACCTTCTGTGATGATAAAATGCCGAGAAAGAAATTAGGGCAAAAAATCGGGCGCGTCATCGATGGCGGAGAGAGTAAGAGTGTGTGTGTGTGTGTGTGTGTGTGTGTGTGAGAGAGAGAGAGAGAGAGAGAGAGAGAGAGACAGGGAGAAGAAGGAAGACATGGGGAGAGGAAAGGTGGGGGTGGAGGTACGAGGGAGAGGCAA